GATTCCGCGCTCGTATTGTGAGGGGCTAGTGATCGCCCTAGAGGTTTGTCGTATGTCCCCCCGATTCCTGTTCCTGAGATTTGGTAGGGGCCTAGAGCTTTGTCGTATGTCCCCTCCTTTCGCCCCTTCGTGTTGTAGGGGTTTTGTTGGGCCTTGAAGGCTTGTCGTGTGTCCCCTTTCTTCGTGCTTGGAGAGTTTGAGGAGCGTCGAGATGACTACCATACATCATTTGCTTCCGTGCTCGTACTATGTGCGGTTAGTGACTGCCCTAGAGGTTTGTCGTATGTCCCCTTCCTTCGTCCCTTCGCGTTGTATGGGTGGTAAGGGTTTTGTGAGGGCCCTGGAGGCTAGTCGTATATCCACTTTCTTCGAGCTTGTAGGGTTTGGGGGGGAGCGTCTAGAGTCTAGATGATCGTCATATATGATTTGCTTCCGTGCTCAAACTATGAGGGGCTAGTGACTGTCATAGAGGTTTGTCATTTGTCCCCCCCGTTTCCTTGGTCCTGTGATTTGGTAGGGGCTTAGAGGTTTGTCATACGTTCCCTCGCTTCGTCCTTTCGTGTTGCAAGGGTTTTGTGAGAGCCCGGCAAATTTGCCGTATGTCCCTTTTCTTCTTGCTTGTAGGGTTTGGGGAGCGTCTAGACGACTGACATATGTAATTTGATTCCGGGCTCGTATTGTGCGGGGCTAGTGACTGCCCTAGAGGTTTGTCGTATGCCCTCCGCTTGTTCCTGTGATGTAGTAGGGGCCTACAGGTTTGTCGTGTGTCCCCTTTCTTGGCATCTAGATGATTGTCATAAGACATTTGCTTCTGTGGTCGTATTGTGAGGGCTATTGACTGCCCTAGAGGTTTGTCGTATGCCCCCCTGCTTCGTGTTCCTGTGAGTTGGGAGGGGCCTAGAGGTTTATCTTTTGTCCCCTCCCTTCGTCCCTTCGTGTTGTAAGGGTTTCGTGAGCGCTCTGGAGGTTTTTCGTATGTCCCCTTTGTTCGTGCTTGCAGGGTTTGGGGAGTGTCTAGATGATTATCATATATCATTTGCTTCCGCAGTCGCTATGAGGATATTGATTGCCCTAAAGATTTCTCGTGTGCCCCCCCGCTTCGTATTCCTATGATTTGGTAGGGGTCTAAAGGTTTGTCGTAATTCCTCTCCCTTCGTTCCTTCGTGGGATTTGCGTGTGTCCCCTTTCTTCGTGCTTGTAGGGTTTGGGGAGCCTAGACGACTGATATATATATATATATATAATTCGATTCCGCGCTCGTATTGTGAGGGGCTAGTGATCGCCCTAGAGGTTTGTCGTATGTCCCCCCGATTCCTGTTCCTGAGCTTTGGTAGGGGCCTAGAGCTTTGTCGTATGTCCCCTCCTTTCGCCCCTTCGTGTTGTAGGGTTTGTTGGGCCTTGAAGGTTTGTCGTGTGTCCCCTTTCTTCGAGCTTGGAGAATTGAGGAGTGTCGAGATGATTACCATACATCATTTGCTTCCGTGCTCGTACTATGTGGGGTTAGTGACTGCCCTAGAGGTTTGTCGTATGTCCCCTTCCTTCGTCCCTTCGCGTTGTATGGGTGGTAAGGGTTTTGTGAGGGCCCTGGAGGCTAGTCGTATATCCACTTTCTTCGAGCTTGTAGGGTTTGGGGGGAGCGTCTAGAGTCTAGATGATCGTCATATATGATTTGCTTCCGTGCTCAAACTATGAGGGGCTAGTGGCTGTCCTAGAGGTTTGTCATTTGTCCCCCCCGTTTCCTTGGTCCTGTGATTTGGTAGGGGCTTAGAGGTTTGTCATACGTTCCCTCGCTTCGTCCTTTCGTGTTGCAAGGGTTTTGTGAGAGCCCTGCAAATTTGCCGTGTGTCCCCTTTCTTCTCACTTGTAGGGTTTGGGGAGCGTCTAGACGACTGACATATAATTTGATTCCGTGCTCGTATTGTGAGGGGCTAGTGATTGCCCTAGAGGTTTGTCGTATGTCCCCCCGATTCCTGTTCCTGAGATTTGGTAGGGGCTTAGAGCTTTGTCGTATGTCCCCTCCTTTCGCCCCTTCGTGTTGTAGGGGTTTTGTTGGGCCTTGAAGGTTTGTCGTGTGTCCCCTTTCTTCGTGCTTGGAGAGTTTGAGGAGCGTCGAGATGATTACCATACATCATTTGCTTCCGTGCTCGTACTATGTGGGGTTACTGACTGCCCTAGAGGTTTGTCGTATGTCCCCTTCCTTCGTCCCTTCGCGTTGTATGGGTGGTAAGGGTTTTGTGAGGGCCCTGGAGGCTAGTCGTATATCCACTTTCTTCGAGCTTGTAGGGTTTGGGGGAGCGTCTAGAGTCTAGATGATCGTCATATATGATTTGCTTCCGTGCTCAAACTATGAGGGGCTAGTGGCTGTCCTAGAGGTTTGTCATTTGTCCCCCCCGTTTCCTTGGTCCTGTGATTTGGTAGGGGCTTAGAGGTTTGTCATACGTTCCCTCGCTTCGTCCTTTCGTGTTGCAAGGGTTTTTGTGAGAGCCCTGCAAATTTGCCGTGTGTCCCCTTTCTTCTCACTTGTAGGGTTTGGGGAGCGTCTAGACGACTGACATATAACTTGAGTCCGTGCTCGTATTGTGAGGGGCTAGTGACTGCCCTAGGGGTTTGTCGTATGCCCCCCCCCCGCTTCCTTGTTCCTGTGATGTAGTAGGGGCCTACAGGTTTGTCGTATGTCCCCTGCCTTCGTCCCTTCGTGTTGTAAGGCTGATAAAATTTTTCTGAGGGCCCTTGGAGATTTGTCGTATGTCCCCACGCTTCGTGTTCCTGAGATTTGGTAGGGGCCAGAGACTTGTCGAATGTCCCCTCCTTTCGTCCCTTCGTGTTGAAATTGCTTTGTTGGGGGAAGGTTTGTCGTATGTCACCTTTCTTTCTTCTTAGAGGGTTTGGGGATCTTCTAGAAAACTGTCATATATCATTTGCTTCCGTGCTCGTATTATGAGGGGCTGGTGTTTGTCATAGAGGTTTGTCGTATGTCCCGCCGCTTTCTGTTCCTGCGATGTGGTAGGGGCCTAAAGAGGTATGTCGTGTGCCCCCTCCCTTCGTCCCTTTGAGTTGCAAGGGTTTTGTTGGACCTGGAAGATTTATCGTATGTCTCCTTTCTTCGTGCTTGTAGGGCGTGGGGAGCGTCTAGATGATTATCATATATGATTTGCTTCCGTGCTCGTATTATGAGGGGCTAGTGACTGCCCTAGAGGTTTGTTTTATGTCTCCCTGCTTCGTGTTCATGTCATTTGCTAGGGTCCTGGAGATTTGTCGTATGTCATTTTACCATATACGAAATTAGATACAATCCCTTCGTCCCTTCGTGTTGTAAGGGTTTCGTGAGGGTCCTAGAGGTTTGTCGTATGTGCCCTTCCTTCGTCCCTTCTTGTTGTAAGGGTTTTGTGAGGGCCCTGCAAATTTGCCGTATGTCCCTTTCTTCGTGCTTGTAGGATTTGGGCAGCGTCTAGATGATTGTCATTATCATTTGCTTCCGTGCTCGTACTATGAGGCGCTAGTAACTGCCCTAGACCTTCAGGGCCCTCACAAAACCCTTACAACACGAAGGGACGAAGGGAGACGACATACGACAAACCTCTATCATCTAGATGCTCCCCAAACCCTACAAGCAAGAAGAAAGGGGACATACGACAAACCTCCAGGGCCCTCACAGAACCCTTACAATAGGAAGGAGTGAAGGGAGGCGACGCACTACAAACCTTTAGGCCCCTACCAAATCACAGGATCACGAAGCGGGGGCGTCATCTGACAAACCTCCAGGCCAATCACTAGCCCCTCATAAAACGAGCACGGAAGCACATGATATGTGATTATCATCTACACACTCCCCAGACCCTACAAGCACGAACAAAGGGGACATACGACAAACCTCCAGGACCCTCCCAAAACCCTTACAACACGAAGGGACGAAGGGAGGGGACACACGACAAACCTTTAGCCCCCTACCAAATCACAGGAACACGAAGCGGGGGGACATACGACAAACCTCTAGGGCAGGCACTAGCCCTCATAATACGAGCACGGAAACACATGATATGTGATTATCATCTACACACTCCCCAGACCCTACAAGCACGAACAAAGGGGACATACGACAAACCTCCAGGACCCTCCCAAAACCCTTACAACACGAAGGGACGAAGGGAGGGGACACACGACAAACCTTTAGCCCCCTACCAAATCACAGGAACACGAAGCGGGGGGACATACGACAAACCTCTAGGGCAGGCACTAGCCCTCATAATACGAGCACGGAAACACATCATATATGATAATCATTTTGATGCTCCCCCAAAACCTGTAAGAACGAGAAAGGGGAAGCACACAAACCTCCAAAGCCCTTACAAAACCCTTACAACACGAAGGGACGAAGGGAGGGGACATACGACAAACCTCTGGACCCTACCAAGTCACAGGAAACACGAAGCGAGGGTGCTTGCCTAAGTCTGGCTGTTGGCCGGCTGGATCTACATTTACTGCTACTACTACTACTGCTACTACTACTACTACTACTACTACTACTACTACTCCTACTACTACTACTACTCCTACTACTCCTACTACTACTACTACTACCACTACTACTTTCAAGAAGTTTTGTAAATAGTAAACAAAGGGGCGTGCCAAATAGACCCTAAAGGTCCATGCCACAAACCCCTAAACCCCTCAACCCCTCAACCCCTAAACCCCTAAACCCCTAAACCCCTAAACCCCTAAACCCCTAAACCCTAAACCCCTAAATCTAAACCCCTAAACCCTAAAATGTCCAGGGATTCTGGAGCCTCGGGCCTCCCTGATTGGCCTGTCCATGCGAGCTGTGCTCTGCGGATGCCTTGAGCACCACCCTGTCGTGCAAGAAATCGCAGAGGCTACCCTAAACGCTAAACCTTAAACCCTAATGTTCCCTGCTGTGATTCCTGAGTGGTTTCTTTGGGGATCTGAATCCTCCCTCCAACGCTCCTCGACAGTCTCTAAACGAAGCCCAGGCTTGGCTAAGATCAGCTTTCAGCCTCTAGAGCAATCATGCACCATGATTCTTGTGGCTGTGGGCCATCCTTGCGGCTATTTCGGGGTACCTTCCATGCCTGCGGCACCTGCGCTCTCAACTTCTTTTTGAGGAAGACGGGCGTGCAGTCGCCACGTCCATCTGTCTGCAGCAGCCACCACCGCGGGGCTCCAGTCGGGCAGTCCAGCTGCGCGAGAACGGATGCGAAGGATGCGAAGCACAGGAAGAGCGCACAGTGGTATCCAACCCGTTGTGCCAACCTGGCTTCGGTTGGAGCGTGGCTTGCCCGTAAAGTCCTACTACATCCACCAAAGAAGGGGGACTCCGAATGGCGCCCCAAAGCCTGCTTGGAGAGACAACCTCTTCTCTTTTGTCTGGTTCATTAGCTAGGACGATATCTACATCGTCGACATGTTCGATTCTTTCGCCCGATGTAGCTGGGCGGCTCCTTGCTACCTTCCATGGAAGCTATGCTGGCCATAATTATTTGGGTCTTTTGAGCTGAGGGGAAGACAGGAAAATGTCGGTTTAGGGTTTTGACTTGGGATGTTCCCCCTTTACTAACAGTCCCTGGTTGGGACTTTAGCACCCCGTGTTATCTTCCCTACTAAGGACTGTTAGTTTAGGGGGAACACCCAAGTTTATAGGGTCAAGCAGCAGCACTGGAACACCTCTGAGGACCTCTGCAGCTTTGGGAGGCTCCTCTCGTGGATAATGCGCGAGTGACCTCGCAACATGCAGGGTTAGTAGCACGTGACTAGGTTTAGGGTTTAGGGTGTAGGGTTAAGAGCATAGCTGAGTTCGGATTTCGTACGGGGCTCCAGGAATGAGCATTCAGAGAGAGGTGGTGCTTGCATACACAAATTCACGGGGTGTCACGGGGCTTAGCGTGAATCAAGCATTACCTCGAACTCTGAAAAAGTGGAACTGCGAACCTCAATGGCAGGCGTTCCTGAGCAGTTGCAAGAGTCTGTGCTGCATCGCAAGCAAAGGAGGATCCAGTTACACAGCATTCAGTCCTTGAGTTTGGAACGGCCTCTTCCTGAAGCTTGCGCTACGTTTATGTCTTCGCGTTAGAACGGTCAAGGGGCCAGTCCCCTTGCTCAACGCAGGACATCCCAAAAAACAGCCCTAATCCGCAGATCAATATTCAATATTGACCTTGGACCTACATAAGTCATCCGCAGCTTGAACATCGAACTGATAGCCCAAGAGTCGCTAAGTTGCGGAATTAGCGGCCACACACTTCTTCGTTCGTGCGGGGATATGACAGCGGCGTGGCTATGGCAAAAAAATAAACCTAACGCGACTACTGAATGACTTTCTATGTCTCATAAAACCCTCAAGAACACCAGCTTCAGCACTTCCAGCCGCCTCACAACATCAAGGGGGAGCGCCAGGCTCGACCCTGCAAGGATCGCAAAGGAGCCCGCGTAAAGCGTCTCCTTCCTGCACTGCTCAGCAACTCAGCAACAACAGCCAAAACCCCAAACCAAAACAAAAGAAGGGCAAAGTTGGTGGCATATAAAGGGATGCTTACCCCCCAAAAAGCGGCTTGATCAGCAATGGTGCATAGTTTAGATCAACTGCCCGTTTGGGACTCCCTATAGATCGCAGAGAACACAAAGACCGCGGAAAAGGGTCCCAAGAGCATCTGAGTCTCCACGGGTCCTGGATCCAGTTGCTGTTCGGATAGTGGCCTGTCTGGCGCTGATACGTCCAAGAGAAGCCCATAAAGAACAAGCCAAATCGTGTGCAGTCCAGTGGCCACCCGCGGAAGAGGCGAGACGGCTGGCTCGCCGAAGCTACGATGTCCACCGTCTGGTACTGCTCGGGCGGGGGCGGATCTGGGTTCAAGCCCGCGAGCATCTTCGCGAGCTGGATATGTTTGGGAGAGTCTTTAAAGTGGTTGTACTTTTCAGAGTTCGTCACGCGATCGGCGTGGGTGCAGACGCTGTGCCTCATCAGCGCCTCTGAGGGGCAAGAGAACAGGGCTGCAAAGAATCCTGAACAGAAGCAGCTAAAGGCTGCTTTCCCATCCACCAGCTCGAAATATCCCCTGCTCAAGCTGCTGCAGGCCAATGCAACCGGTAGACGGAGGTTCCCGATGGAGAAGATGAGGCGCGCCATGATCTCGCTTTCTTTCGGACGTCGTCGCTGGAAAAGCGCTGTTCGGACTCCGTAGGTTTGGCTTCCCGCGAAGAAGCCATACAGGCCCTCGTTGGAATACAAGTCCCTCGCTGCCGCCGCAAATCCGATCGTCCGCCTTTCCATGTGCATGCGGATCACAAACAGCGGGTGGTCAACATACCTGGGCTGGCTGGTGCCCCTTGAGAAGAAGGCGAAAGAAGTATGTAGGATGTCATGACCCGGGGGAAAAGCACTGGGTTCTCCCTTCAAGCCAGCCTACCAAGCTGGAAAGCCAGCCAAGAACATGGGGACAGTGTAGGTAAGGGCGGCTGTTGCACACCTCTTCTCTGTCCATGCCCAGTGAGCCTCAGTAAGGAGCCCCCGCTTCTTGATCCTCGGATATTGCGGTTTAGGGTTTAGGGTTTAGGGTTTAGGGTTTAGGGTTTAGGGTTTAGGGTTTAGGGTTTAATGTCGTATCCTGATTAGTCTGGACCCCTCCAATAATGAAAAGTTTTCCAAAATTTTATTCAGGAGACAAAAACTCGATTGCCCCCCCCACAATAAAGTAAGGTTTTTCGGGCATGGGTTTCGGAAGAGAGAAAAAAAGAGAACAAGATGATGAAAGAAAAGAGCAACTGAGCTTACCTGAGCTTTCCTGAGCTTTCCTGAGCTTACCTGAGCTGAGCTCATCTGAGCTTACCTGAGCTTAATTACCTAAGAGGAGAGGGAGAGGAAGAGGAGAGGGAAGAGGAGCGAAGAGGAAATGAAGAGGAGCCGGTGGGGGGGGCCCGGGGCCGAAAATTAGTTTGGGGGGGCCCCTTGTTTTGGTGACACTATTGCGGGGGTGGATTTAGTTTGGGGGGGGGGGGGGGGGGCCCCCCCACACTAATTAGGATACCACATTAGGGTTTAGGGTTTAGGGTTTAGGGTTCACAGTCTAGAAAGGGTAGGTTTAGGGTTTCTATGCCAGAGCGAGGCGTGAGGTTTTGTGGGCTGGGGTTAGAGGCCTTCTGGGAGAAACGTCGTGGAAGGAGCCCCCCAAAGCTCGCTATCCGCTATCCGCGCCCGCTCTCTATCATGATTGGACCAAGCACCTCGAACAACCATGACATCAGGAGAAACCTGTCTCAACTCCTGCTTCTTCCCCAGGATCTCCTCCAGCAGGCTCTTGTCATCAAACTCCGACAATGTCACGGGTTGGGGCTCGACCTCGGGTACCAAACGGTTCCAGAATTAGGATCCCACACCCTGGTTTTGCAGCATATACCCTGTAGAAGGGAGCGGAGTCATGTAGGGAAGTACAAGCCGATGCATGCCAAAGCCACTCCCTTGTAGGGCAAAAGGGCCCTAAACCCTGAACCCTCAACCCTTTCAGGGATGACACAGGGTACCCTATATCCCCCGAGAAATACCCTTTATGGGATTACATAGGTACTCCTTTTGGGGTTCATCCGCGTGCCCCAAGGGGCCCTTTCCAGGGGCCGACCAAATGGCCAGAGCCAGCGCCACCAGGGTTTGGAAGTCGCCATGTGACGCCATGTGAAACGAAGATCGGAGAATTCTTTGTTGGTGTTCGGTTTAGGATGTTTTTCCCACCCGAGGGTTTAGGGTTTAGGGTTTCGGGTCTCTCACACGCGCACAACGTAGGGTTTAGGGTTTAGGGCTTAGGGCTTAGAGTTCAGAGGTCAAAGTTCAGAGAGTTGTTGCTTGCCACCCCCAAACAGGCAGCCTAGCCACACCACAGGGTACACAGGGTTTAGGGCGACGGGCCTAAACTGCATGGATGTTGTCGGGCGTGAGCGTAGCCAACTGTGCATGAAGGAGTGCCAGGGATTTCATAACCGGCTCCCGGTTTAGGGCTTAGGGCTTAGGGTTTCGGGTTTAGGGTTTAGCATGTCTGAAGGATTCAGAGGGCTTAGGGTTTACGGTTGAAGAGCGTAGTGACTGCCAGCACGCATGAAATCAGATCCCCTGCAGAAAGCAATACCTGTTCGATGTGCTCTGCTGATCTGCTTGAGTAGGACCACCCGCAAGTCATAGTTTTTGCAGGCTGTTGCAAACCTATCTGCCTGAAAAAAGGCGTTCTCCCAGTCAGCTTCAGATGGGTCCTGGAACCCATGCTCTAAACTTATGCCCTCCACGTCGGGATCGAAGTGATTGTCCTTAATTTTGGCCCCACTGGAACCCTGCACAGGCGACAAGTGCAGAACCCCTGAACTCACAACGGCCTGCCTTGTTTTGCTTAGCGATTGCCAGCGATCCATTGGGCATTGTGCCTCCATCCATCCATGTGACAGACTGAGGCCAGCAGGCAGCAACAAAGCCCCTGTCAGCTATGGGGCCCTAAACCCTATAAACCCTAAGTGAACCCTAAACCCTAAACCCTAATAATGGGATTGCGTGCATTCTTGCCTATAGGCTGTAGTATGCAGACCCGCACGGTGCGCAATCAGGGAGCAAGGTTGCTGAAGTACAAGGCTTGTAGAGACACGCGCATCTCGCTCCACCAGAAAAAGCGTACGGAGGAACTCAACAGCTGAACCCAAAAAATGGAGGTGCAGAAATGCAGCAGTACTCAAAACCGCTGAGCGAGTTGCGGGTTGCCTCTCTGTGGCAGCACGGAGACAAGATTAAGGCTGCTTTGCATGCCTTGGCCTGCTCGGCTGCTTAGCCAGTCTGCGGGGGAGGGGCGCCGAGCGACACCGACGTCACCACACAAACGGCTTTTGAGCAAAACGTTCGATCAAAACCACGAAGCCAGCTGCAGGCTTCGTTGCTAGACGACGCGTCTCAGGCAAAATCTGGGTCCTGGCAGAGGATGCACACGCACGCAGTATAGGGTTTAGGGTTTAGGGATGTTTAGGGTTTACGGATAACCCCAATCCTATGTACGGCTGGCCTGGATTGGCACGCCATCTCTCACAGCCCGTCGGGAGCGAGATCGTTTCTAAAGGAACGTATCAATCAAATCTCGACGTCCGTTTTCTTGCTTTCCTGGCACAGGAGGGCGGGACCCGGGGAAGAACTACGGGTGTGCCTCAACAGCATGCAACATCTTGCGCAGCTTCTCAGCATTCTCGACATTCCGCGCCCGCCTGCCCCTTCTTGTAAACTGGCTTTGGGGCCGGCTCGCTGCCGACCTGGGCCAGCATCTGGCAGAGCCTCGGATGGACAAGTCACGGAAGTGCTACGAGGTTACTAGGTGGCCATGCAGGCATGAGCTCAAGGAAGCTCAAGCAGGCGGCACACAATGTGGGAACGCAGCCAAGCAGCGTCTGCGGGTACAAGAAGACGGCGGCGCAGATGTCCTCGATGCCGGAGCCCTCAATGCCGTACAGCCTCCGGATTTGATGCCGACCCAAGGACAAGACGCCGGCGAAGGTGAGGTACGCAACCCAGGCCATAGCCCACATCGCCTTGCCTTCCTTGGGGCCGTTTGCATCCGCCTGGTAGACCCATGAGACGATGTGGAGGATCACGAAAGCCTTGAAGGCAAGGCCCAGCACCAGCGCGAGCATGCCGTGGGTTCCGGCATGTGTCGGGGCCTTCTCGTACTTGGACATGGCCTGCATGGAGCGCCAGAAGAGGACGGGAGGCATGACTGTTGCCAGGGCGAAGGTCGTGAAGACGCGCAGAGGCGGCATTTTCGACCTCCCGAAGGTTAGGACCCATTCAGGAGCATCGAAGATGCCGCCGTAAAGAGGCAGGTTCCAATCCGGTCGTTGGCCTCTGGGGGCAATCTCCCCAGCCTCGACCTTCAATGCACGCCAGAGGGACGTGCACATCATCATCATCACGATTGTGAATGGGAGGCCCATGACAATGGAGACGGCCTGCAACGCGGTGAGGGAGCTGAAGCCCCCAGACGCGAGTGCCGCGATGGCAACTGCACCCTCCGTCACCGCCCAGAAGATGCGCTGCACGACGTGCGCCTCGCGACCATTTGCGGCAATCAGGTCCACCACCAAAGAGCCACTGTCGCTGGACGTCACGAAGTAGAGGATGGTGGTGACGATGGACACGAAGACCAGGCTGTTTCCCATGCCATAGTACTGGCCCATCAGGTCGAACCAATACCCGGAGGAGTCACCCGAAGAGAACTTGCAGACGGGGCTCACATCCGTGTTAACGGAGTAGCTGCTGTAAGCATCTCCTGGCAGGCTCGCTGGCACGTCGAAGCACTTGCCTGCCCCGCTGGGCCGGAAGGTGAGGTCGGTGTGGAGGAAGTAGTCGGCGTTGCCGTACAGTTCCGTGCCAACATTCTCCAACCAGATGGCCCGGCGGTTCATGCGGATGGCGGCTGCGCCGAAGATGCAGAACCACAGCACGGCGTACAGGAAGGGCAAGGTCAGGGTGTACAGGACCACCTGCTTGATGGTACGTCCTCGAGAGATGCGGGCCATGAACGTGCCCACAAAAGGGGCCCAAGCGATCCACCAGCCCCAGTAAAAGATGGTCCACCAGTCCATCCAGGAAGGATGGGCTCCCTTGCCGTCGTTGGGCCTGCCGTTGCCGAGGTCCAGCTGAGCAAAGGCGTCGGTGTCAAAGGCGAGCTCTACGAAGTGCGCAAGGTGGTAGCCGACCGCCTGCACGATGACGTTGAGGATGTACCAAGGCTCATCCAGGCTGAAGATGACCACCATGAGGAAGTTGCCGAGCATGAAGGCCGTGTAGGAGACAGTCTTGATTCCAAAGTCCAGGCCAGCCACCACCGAGGCGGTGGCGAGCAGCGTGATGACGGCGATCAGCCAGGCAGCCGTGTTGGTGAGCTGGTCCTGCAAGCATCGGCAAAGCTGCAGGGTACGCTAAATGGACATGTAAATTTGCCCGGGACGGTACCATTGGGGTTGAGGTGTTGTTGGGGTTGGGAGGCTCACTGCGCGGTCCTCGGTGAGGGTTCCCTCAAGCCACTCAAGCCGTTGCATGCCACCGACAATCTGGCGGGCGCCCAGGCCAAGGGACGTGCAGAGCCCGGCGACGATGGTGACGATGGTCAGGACGTCCAGCAAGTCACCCATCCAGCCCCAAGTGGCCTTGCCAAAGAGAGGGGCCATGCAGGTGCGGAAGCACAGCGGCAGGTTCTTCCGGTAGGAGAGGAAGCCCATGGTCAGCGCAGTGATGGCGTACACGATCCATGCCAGGAAGCCCCAGTGGAAGAGCGTGATGTGAAGTCCACTGATGGCCCGGTCGTTCTCGTTGAAGTACCCGTTGTTGTTTGTACTTGTTGGTGCCATCCTCAGCATGGAACAGAGGCTCCGAGGCTCCGTAGAAGATCAGGCCGATGGCCACACCACCGCACCAGACCATCGCCAAGTAGGTGAGGTCGCCGTACTCGGGCTCCTCGTCGTCCTGCAGGCCGCACGCTGCGGCTGCGGCTTCACGAGTCCGGGATGTGCAACGCAGATCAACGCAACAGCACACAAGTACTACACAACTCAAAGCAGCAACGCACTGGCAACGCAGCAAAGGCAATGGATCGCGCCCCACTGGCGCGCAGCTTGATTTTACGTGTGGCAACGTGTGGCAACGTGTGGCACGCGCGTGTGTTCGATGGCTCTCCCGTGTGGCCTGGCCGAGCTTCATGTCCCCGTAGTAGTAGCAAAGTGGGAAGAGGTAGACAATCCAGTAGTCCTGTGCAGCAGGCTCGAGGCATTACCTGCTGCAGCTGCCGCAGCTTTACATCCAACGACCACAAGCACCATCAGGCACCCAACGCACGGCCTGGGACACAATGTAGAGCCAGGTGAACTTCTTCGTGACGTAGGACTGCCACTCCCCGAAGACAGTGGAGGCTTCTGGGTCCAAGACTGCGTAGAGGACGAAACCCCAGAGACACACAGCGGCCAGGAGGGAGACCACCGGATTGAAGCGGATGGAGCCTTAAACTCTGAACGCCAACTCCTAGTGGTCCCAAAAGGGTTCTGGACTGTTTTTTTGCCATTTACAGCACGTTCTCACCAAGTTGCAGAAGTTAACCTCACGGGTGCCCTGCGGCCCAGCGCCATGGCCGCGCTCGTACTCCTCCACCTTAGCACGACAGCCCCCGACGCCCCCGACGCCCCCCCCCCGTGGCTGAGCAAAATAGGGTCTATTTAGAAGCTACCGCCTGGGATTATTAATCAATTTTAGCATATCCAAGACAACCCAGCTACTTCTCCAACAACGTCTCACGCATATGCGCACTTAGACAACTCATTTCGGACTGATAAATGTTTTGGCTCTTGCAATCTCAGACCCTAAGCCCGTAACCCTGACCACAAATTCGTACACTCTAAAACCCTACACAAGAAACTCTATACCGTATTTCCTAAATTTAAACTCTAACTCCTAAACCCAGAATCTAGAAGAAAAGGAGGAAAAAGAAAGAATCATGTGCAGACGTTCCTGTGTTCCTATCTTCGGAGTTCTTCTATTCCTATCTCTGCTGATTTTTCAGAATGGAAGGAGGGCTTCATTTTCCCTCTCACTTTTCCTTTCACTTTTCTTTTCTCACTCCAAGCAGAAGGAGAAGACAAGGGAGAGAGGTGAGAGATAGAGAGCCCCTTACAGCTCAATAAATAGAAAGGTGACCAAAATGGATGAAAAGATCGCCTGCTTTCATTTCTAAACGGCCTGTCCCCGCCTTCTTTTCTTTGCACAGTGCAGACATAAATAAACACGAAAGAAGAAAGAGGGCCTTTCCCTACTATTTCCTTCGCTATCCTGGAATCCTGGTTCGGAAAAGAAAGGAACAGCTACCAGCCCCCCTCCCGACTTTCATCTTTCCATTTCTTTGTTTCGTCACGCTCAAACGGACAGAAGAAGGGCGGCCTCTAGTGTTTCCTCGCCTCCTTCTGCACTGTTATAACTTCCTTTCTTTTCTCTTCTGTTGCTTTGTGTGACAGGTGCGGGGGCATTTCTTTCACTTTTCCCATCGAAGAAAGGCTCCCTTCCTATCCGCATATTTTCTTTTCTCTTCCTTCCGAAAAAGACTATAAGAGGCAGGGATAAACAGAATGAAAGAGGAGTCTCCTTTTGCTTTCCGACTACCTTCTCACCACAAAAAGGAACCCTTCTCTTTCTTCCCTTGACTTTCGTTTATCTTGTTTGCATTCTACGTTTCCCACTAAGAAAATGAGACAATGATGAAGATAAGTGAAGAAAGATCACCTGCCTGCACGCAGGTTCTCGGGAGCTTGTCTCGACCGGGCTGTCCCTCCTTTCCCGCACGTCCCTTCGCTTGTCCCCATTGATCTCTCGCGTCTCTTCCCTTTGCACTCTCTCGCCTCTGGCCCGCCTTCCATGCTGAAAATGCTGAAGAGATACGAAAAGAAGAGCTCATGATTCTTTCTCATTTCTTCTTCTTTATCATTCCCATATGAGTAAAGAAGAAAGATTAGGAGAGAGAGCCCTGCGGCAATTCCTGTTTTGGGCGGAAGAAAAGAAACAAAGAGATAATAAGAGAGAAGAACGAATAAGAAGGTGCCGGGAACGAAGATGGAAACTGCTCCTTCACCCTGGTCTATCGCTTCCTTTTCGAATTTTTTCGGAAGGAAGATCGAAGAAGATAGTGGGAAAAAAGGAGTGAAGTGCCCGTAGAAGGGAGAAAGTGAAAGGGATGCCCCCGCAACTTTCATGTTTTGATAAGAATGCAAGCGCCAGCAGAGAAGAAAGGAAGAGAGAATAACGAGGAAAGAGCGGAAACCGAGGAGATTAGGAGCCAGGTTTCCCTGATTGATTCTCGTCACTTTTCTCTGTTTTGGGAAGGTAAAGGGCTTTATATCTCCCACCTCTCTCCCTTGTCTTTTTGGTTGGAGTGAGAAAATATAAAGAAAAGCGAAAGGAAAAGTGAGAGGGAGAAAGAAGCCCTCCTTCCATTCTGAAAAATCTACAGATTTAGAGACAGGAATAGGGGACAATATGGACATGATTCTTTCTTATTTCTTCACGTTGTCTCCTTTCCCTATATGACTCCCTTGCGATTTCCCTTTTGGTTGGAGTGAGAAGAGACAAAAGAAAAGTGAAAGGAAAAGTGAGAAGGAGAAAGGACGCAGAGATAGGAATAGAAAAACTCAGAAGAGACACAGTCTCAGACAAGATAATTTGCTGACTTGTGATTGCGTGGCTGCCTTGGCAAGAGTTGTTGCTGGAATGGCTTTTGGGAAGAAAGTCGGAGGTGCACTTTTCGATCCAGGCGTGTTTCGCGAGCCGCAGCTTCTGGCCTTCTCTTGCTTGGGCGTGGCCAAGCGCCAGGAGCAGAAATGCTGCGTTTTTCAAGTTTCAAATTCGTTTCTGTAGTTTCAGACTTGTTGCAAAATAGTTTCAAAATCCAGTTGCAAAATCGTTGTTAAGGGGAAACTGCGTTTTTCTACGCGCAATTGCAAAACATGCAGAAGTTCTGGTTTTCAACAAGCGAGGACAGAAATTGCAGCTCCTCCTTAACAGCGATATTTCAACTGGATTTTGAAACTAGTTTGAAACTGACTTGAGACTAATTTGAAACTATGGAAACGATTTTGAAACTCGAAACACTACCATATTTCGGACTTTCTGCCCCCCTCCTGGCCCCTCACATATGGCCCTCACGCACGGGAAGTTGACTTTGGTCAGGCGTGACTAGAGACCAGAGCTTCCGAAAGCTTGCCAATCTCCGGACAGTAGGAATAGAGGAATGTGTGGAAATGATTCCATCATTGTCTCTTTTTCTCAGTGGGAAACGTCTCATTTTCTCAGCGGGAAACGTAAAGTGCAAAAAGATAAAAGAAAGAAAGTAGGGAAGAGTGGGAAGGTTCCTTTTTGTGGTGAAAAGGTAGTCGGAAAGCAACAGGAGACTCCTCTTTCATTCTGTTTACCCCTACCTCTTATAGTCTTTTCGGAAGGAAGAGGGAAGAACATACGCGGATAGGAAGGCAGCCTTTCTTTGATGGGGAAAGGAAAGGGATGCGCTGCCCCCTCAATTTTCATGTTGATGGGAATGTAAGCACCGGGAGAGAAGAAAGGAAGAGAGAATAGCGAGGAAAGAGGCAAGGAAACACAGGAGATTAGGAGTCAGGTTCCGGTGATTGATGTTCGTCTCTTGTCTTCTTTTTGAGAAGGTCGCTTTTGGTTGGAGGAAGAAGTCCGCCTTCCATTTTGAAGAATGATAGAATTGAAGAAATCACAAGAGACACGGATAGAGGACATTATAGACTTGATTCTTTCTTATTTATTCATCTTCTATCTTCATTCCCTATATGAACACAGAACAAAGACAAGCAGAGAGAGCCTCCTGCAATTGGGAATTTCCCCAGAAGAGACAAAGTGAAAGGGATGTCCCCCGCACCTTTCACACTTTTGAGAAGAATGTAAGCAACAGAAGAGAAGTGAAAGGAACTCATAATAGTGAGCAGGGAGGCGAGGAAAGACTGGAGGCAGACCTTCTTTCCGGTTGAGCAGGACGAAACAAGAGAATGTAAAGAACTCCTCTTTCATTCTGTTTACCCCTACCTCTTATAGTCTTTTCGGAAGGAAGAGGGAAGAACATACGCGGATAGGAAGGCAGCCTTTCTTTGATGGGGAAAGGAAAGGGATGCGCTGCCCCCTCAATTTTCATGTTGATGGGAATGTAAGCGCCGGGAGAGAAGAAAGGAAGAGAGAATAGCGAGGAAAGAGGCAAGGAAACACAGGAGATTAGGAGTCAGGTTCCGGTGATTGATGTTCGTCTCTTGTCTTCTTTTTGAGAAGGTCGCTTTTGGTTGGAGGAAGAAGTCCGCCTTCCATTTTGAAGAATCTGCAGAGATAGGAATTGAAGAAATCACAAGAGACACGGATAGAGGACATTATAGACTTGATTCTTTCTTATTTATTCATCTTCTATCTTCATTCCCTATATGAACACAGAACAAAGACAAGGAGAGAGAGCCTCCTGCAATTGGGAATTTCCCCAGAAGAGACAAAGTGAGAGGGATGTCCCCCGCACCTTTCACACTTTTGAGAAGAATGTAAGCAACAGAAGAGAAGTGAAAGGAACTCATAATAGTGAGCAGGGAGGCGAGGAAAGACTGGAGGCAGACCTTCTTTCCGGGTGAGCAGGACGAAACAAGAGAATGTAAAGATGTAAGTCGGGAGGGAGGCTGGTAGCCGTTCCTTTCTTTTCCGAACCAAAGACAAAGAGGAAGGAATGCAGGATAGCGCGTAGGATCGCGTAGGGGAGTACGGTGTGTTTTTGTCATTTTTTGGAGATGATACCGCGGTTTCTGGGTACTCTTTTCTCCTGCATCTGAAGGCATTCTCACGTACCGTTTTTTATTTGATTTTATACTACACGGGCCCCCAAATTGGTCAATTTTTGCGATTTTTTACTATGTTGTAGGATTCTTTGAGCAAATTTTCAGTTTTTACTGATTCTAAGCTAAAAAAGTACATTTAAAATTATTAAAATTATTAAAATTATTTCTGCCCTGAGAGGCTCCCGGAAAATTAACATTATTAAAATTATTAAAAGTATGGAAATTATTAAAATTATTTCTGCCCTGAGAGGCTCCCGGAAAAATATTAAAATTATTAAAATTATTAAAATTATTAAATTATTAAAATTATTAAAATTATTCTTTTCTGCCCTGAGAGGCTCCCTGAAAATTAAAATTAGAAAAATATTAAAATTATGAAAATTATTAATTTCTGCCCTGACAGGCTCCCGGAAAATTAAAATTATTAAAATTATTAAAATTATTAAAAATTATTAAAACTATTAAAATTATTAAAATTATTAAAATTATTAATTTCTGCCCTGAGAGGCTCCCGGAAAATTAAAATTATTAAAATTATTAAAATTATTAAAATTATTAAAATTATTATTTTCTGCCCTGAGAGGCTCCCTGAAAATTAAAATTAGAAAAAATATTAAAATTATTAAAATTATTAATTTCTGCCCTGACAGGCTCCCGGAAAATTAAAAATATTAAAATTATTAAAATTATTAAAATTATTAAAATTATTAATTTCTGCCCTGGGAGGCTCCCGGAAAATTAAAATTATTAAAATTATT